CGCCTGGGCTACAAGAGGTAGTCTCCTGAAAAACTTCCAAAGCCCAAAAAAAACCCGTCCCCAAACCCCCCCCCCAAAAAAAAAAAAGAAAAAGAAAGCCTGGCATAGCAGCACTCCAGAGGCAAGGCTGGCAGACCTCTGGTAGTTCAAGCCCAGCCTGGACTACAGAGTGAGACAAGGAAATAGAGAACAGTGAAACAAAGAAATAGAGAAAGGACAGTATCATAAGTAACTGTCTTCCAAGCCAAGCAATTGCCATCTTGGAGCATTCAGCTGCATCCTCTTGCAGAAGATCGTGCCAGCTGGACTTTTTTGATGGTTTATAGTAGACCCTCACCTGGGTATGGGTGCTCTTTACCATCTGTTGTAGAGCTCTGTCTTCATTGCATGTATCCTGGGGGAAGGGCTAGAGGAAGACTGGGGTTGGGGGTGGGTATAGGAACCCCTCATGTCTTCTGGGTAAGGCTTTCTGGGTGTGGCCTTCTGGGACGAGCACCCACACCCCAGTAAGTAACCCCTCACCTAAGCTTTGTAAGGAAGCAGAATAAACTCACTGGTTCCCCAGAGTGAACTTTGGTGGAATCATGTCTCAGTTTGTCTTGGGACCTTAGGGGAGAGGGGTAGATGCTGCTGTCTCCCTCTGGGAAGGAATTTTAGCAACAAACAGCAAGCTGGGCTACCCCAAGAGGACAGTGCAGGTGTTGTCACAACCTATTGCATGCAGGAAACCTCCCTTAAGGACTGTCCCCTCCTGAGTCTCTCCTGTCCCAGGAGCTGTTTCGGAGCACAGTGACTGTGACTGTGGCGCTAGATTGTCTACCCAGTGTGGATGAAAGCACACAGCCAACAATGAAGCAACAAGCTGACACTAGGCAGCCATCTTCACCTGTGGGCTATCACCTAGGCTCCCATGTGGTAGAAGCTGGCCTAGTACAAGGCTGGGTCCAGCTGGCTCTTTGACGCTGTGGAAAAGTCTGGGCTGCAGGAGGCTTACAGGATGGCAATGCTGCCAGCTTGCATACTCTGTCCCATGCGGCTCCCATGAGACCTAGAACAACTGGCTTAGACCAACCAAGCCAGGAAAGAAAGGCTGCCAGGGCTGGGGTCAGCTGTCTGGGCTTCTGTCCCCTCGGGTGCAGTGCTTGCTGTTTGTCTGGAGGCAGAAGAATGCAAGCCTCGGGCTACTGTTGTTTACTTAGCATTGAAGGGCTGGGGAAGTAGCTCAGTTGCCAGAGGGTTCACCTAGCACGCACAAGGCCCTAGCACCAAATAAACCTGGCATGGCAGGGCATGCCTGAAATGCTAGCTCTTGGGAGGTGGATATAGGAGGATCAGAAGTTCAAGGGTATCCTTGGCTGCATATTGAGTTCAAATGCCAGCTTGGGAGACATGAGACTCTGTTTTTGTTTTTTGCTTTTTGTTTTTTGTTTAAAAAAAAAAAAAAAGGAGGAAAGTTAATGCACATGGCAGCCCCCCCACCCCCAGCCCATCTCAGAACCTGTTTAGTCCATCCAGGAGATGACAGGTGACACTGTTCTGAAGTCACCCAGTTGTGACTTGTGACCCTGCCCCTCTGTGCCTCAATTTCCTCAGTGAATGAGACAATACATAGGAATTGATTAGCGTCCTCTGACACATGTTTTCTGTCATCTGTATGTTCTGGTTACTGTCCCTGTACCTGGGATAATAACCCCCACTCCAGCTCTGATGGGGTTCAGTTCTCTAACACATATGAAATACATGGCTTTGTGTTATGGTTAGTTGTCTTGCAGAAGATAAAGTGGGGGTACAGTTGGACCTTGACCCTAGAGATTCTGAGGTACTAGCACAATGATTCAGAGATGGCCTGGGTCCCCACAGTTATGACCTTATGGGATTTCATGGTACTGAGTGAGTTCTCTGGCCCTCTAACCCATCTAGATCAACTTCTAGGCAGTCTTTGCCAACACACTCTCTTGGCAGCTGTCACAGGCAAAGGCACTGGGCAAAATGTCAACAGTGCTGCTGGGACATCTCTGACCCCTGGCTTTCATCCCAACCAGAAATACATTGGCTGAAACTGGCTGGCGAGCTGGAGCAAGCCCGGGGCTGGAGGTGGAAAGCAATCGGGGTCACTAGCTGCATTTATTTCTCCCATTTTACTCGTTAATGCTGTTTCTTGTTAGGAAGTGGTTTTTAAAACCTAAGACTTCAGCCGAGCCCAGGCAGCCAGGCAGGCTTTGTAGAGAAGGGAGAGAAAGAGCCGCCCCATCTGCCCTCACCCCCTTACTCAGGTTAGTGCACCGAAATTTCTTCCTGCCCTCTTTGGTTTCTGCATT